CATGCTAAGACTTCTTAGGGCCCCCTCATTTCCGAGGAGCAGGAAAACTTTCATGTCTATCTGAGCCTAAATTAAAGCAATTTCTCAAGATGAGCTTTACCGCTGACTTCTCCTCTACCTCAGTACTGTGGGTGAATGCTCTAGAACACAGACAGTTTGAAATGCAAGGTTGGCAGTTCAACCTCACCAGCCACTCCTCGGAAACTCTATATAGGGTCATTATAAGTCAAACTAACTTGGGGGCACTTCACAACAAAAACAACTGGGATCAAACACAACAAGCATATTGCCAAAAACACTTGGCTCAATTTCATCACTTTTGCTAGTAGGATTTTGGAAAAAATGAACAAAATATGAGGGGCCTTCACAAAGTTCATGGAAAAATCCCATTGTCTTTTAATTCCGTTTTCCCACAAACTTTTTGAAGTCCACTCTTCTGTGTGCCCATGCTTCCTCTATACTTCTTTCAGATACTAAAAATTAACAGCAGCATACATTCTGGTACAGATTGTAGAGTTGGAAATGACTAATCTTCCTTTTTTCGGATAAGAACCCTGTTTCTCCATTGTCTCAGTGAGGCTAATCCAATTAGACCAGTGAGTTTCCTTGAAAACTGGAGATTCCGTCTTCAAAGTACAAAAATGATTTTCACAGGAAATATTTCCAATGGAAGATACTAAAACAAAACACCCGTTACACATCTTCCTCCTACCTTTCTCAGCCAGGACACCATGCTTCTTTGTGGTTCTTCGTGATGTACCAGTATGCAAAGCAGTTATGACCCTGTGAGACTGGACTCTAGTGAGCACAGTGGTACGGGGGTTGGGGCCTCGGACTATCTGTCCATCCACTGCCTGTTGAGATTCCTGTGCTGTAACAACCCAGGAGGAAACACAGGTCTTGCCTACTGATGTGCCTTGGTGTCAGCTGTCAAACCCACAATCCCAAGCAAGTCAAGTGGGTTCAAATCTGCTTCTTTATTTCCAGTAAATAGTTCGAGGATGATTTCATCTTTTCAGCTGAGTGGCATGATGGGCTCGGTGGCATCGCTTTACAATCAGAAGGCCTTGCTGTCTAATTCCCGACGTGTGGCTATATTCCTAGGGTGGGATCTGATTTGTGGAAAAGCAGAAATGTTCTTGCTACCCTGGAAAATCTCCAAAGTAGATAATTGTACGTGAAAGAGTGATGAAAACAATCATAATCATGGCCCCTCCAGCGACTAGGATGCCAAACTCATCAGAGGACTTGACAAAGCGAATGTTGAAACTTCACAGACTCAACACATGGACTACGCAAAGGCAGACTGCAGAAGAGGTGTGCCATTGATGCCCGGGGCAGATGTTGAGACCCGTAATTTGGAGATCCCAGGATATTATATGCTAAACACTAGTGGCGCTGATTGCTGATAGAATAGGTACTGGATTGCTATTATAAGGTCAGTGGTTCAAATCCACTGGCCGCTCCTCAGAAGTCCTATACAGGGTAGCTATGAGTCAGAACTGACTCAGTGGCATTTAGCAACAGTCCCTGCTATAAATGCTGGTAAATCTTCTGTATGTCATTTGTGCTTCCACAAGACAGTGGGAGAATCTACTCATGTGAATTCTAATATATTGAATGGAATCATCTGAGCTTAGGAATCATTATGTCTTCCTTCTTTGTACAACCATAAAACAAATGGCATGATGATATGTCTCTTCCTGTTTCCAAGGAATAGTCTTCCCTTGACCATTACATCCAAAGTCTTGGAGAAAAATGCTTCTTCCACTGGCTGAGTATTCCCATACAATGGGTATCTGGCTCCACTAAGGCTGATCAATCGATGGGTCCCTTCAGAGCAATCAGGAAGTCCCCTGCTATCCTCTTGAGCGTCACTACAAGATGCCACTAATAATACTAGACTCCAGAAATCAGTTAGCAAGACAGCTCCCCGCACAACTACCTACATTCCAGACTCTGTATTGCTTAAACAAAACAAAACAAAGAACTATGAATGGAAGCAAGTTTCTGTGTTACTTTGTTTGGTTCTTTAACATTCTTTCTTCATAAGAACACAAACTCTGTAAGGAACACAAGTCTGCAGAGCTACTATGACTGAGAATTTTTACATCACTTCATCACTACATCCGCACTGCACCTATTTCTAAGGGCAGCTAGAGTGTTCCCAAATTGCAGGGGTTTTGATGGTTTGTTAACCTTTCATGAGAATGTTTGATAGCAAGCCACAGATCATAGTCATCTCGCCTAAACTTGTTACTACAGAATGCTCCTTTACGGCTTTTGTGTCCATGGAAGTTGCTAAGATTCCTTGCAACTGAACCACAGAAAGAAGGCGGTTTCAACTGTCTTAGATGTAATTTGACAGATTTCTGTTCAAAAAAAGTTTGAGAAGATGAGGGTCTTTGAAAAGTTGGTGGGGGGAGGGGAAATGGAATTAAAAAGGGATTTTTTCCATGAACTTTCAGAAGTCCCTGGTTTGTCACTTCTGAATTAAATTCCTTTTTCTAGGTCTTGATGGTTTCCCTCCTGAATCCACATCTGTTTTCTTTTTCAAGCTCTTGTTCTCATGACATCATCTTGACGGTATGATGCTGCTAAGCAAGAGGGTAGGGACTAGTCTAGAAAGTATAAGAAATGTTGCCACTTACAAGGCGACATCCATCAGAGTAGGAGACAGTGAGACTTCTGTTGTACAAGGGTCGCTTTGAATTGAAACCAGCTCAAAGGCATCAAACACCACCAATACACAAACTCTGTCTCCAACTTTATAGGGTACTATTTTAGGATTTCCTGGTGTGGCGCTGTGGGTTAATGCGCCAGACTGTAAAGCCATTTGAACTGCTAGGTCAGCGGTTCAAGCTCACCAGCTACTCCTCGGAAACCCTATCCAGGGTTGCTATGGGTCGGAACCGACTCGATGGCATTTAACAACAACAACAACATCCTAGGATTTGGAGTCTTGGTGTGACACCATGGCTTAATGCGCCAGACTGCAAAGCCATTTGAACTGCAAGGTCGGCAGTTGAAACTCATCAGCTGCTCCTCAGAAACCCTGTACAGGGTCGCTATGGGTCAGAACTGACTCAACAGCACTTAACAACAACAACAACATTCTAGGATTTGGACTCCTGGTGTGGCCCTATAGGATCAGCACTGAACTTTAAACCACAAGGTCAGCAGTTCAAACCCACCAGGTACTCCTTATAAAGTCTGTACAGGGTCGCTATAAATAGGAACTGTCTTGATCACACTGAACAACAATTCTAAAATTTATTTATTATTATTTTTTTAAAGAGCCCTTCTTACCTTATTTCACTGGCTATAAACCAAAAAAAAATATGGTTAGACCATTGAAAAATTAAGATTGAGAATCCATGAATTAAAAATTGAAGACCCTTGAGACATGCATATAGAAGAGCTCTTCATGAGCGAACTCTTGCACCTGAGACTCCATCATTGGCATTGATGATTCTTAGCAAGTATCCTTACGGCCATGTCTTCTCGTCAGAGAAACCTTGACCAATATTTTATAAAAGTCATCTTTTTAAGAAAAACTCCTGAAATTGCCATTGTTTTGCTTAAATGTCTTCTATAGCTTCGAGTGCACACACACGCACATACACAAACCCACACACAAATGTAGCAGCTTCACAGACAACAAAGTTCTTGTATCTATGAGCCACTCTACCATTTTTATCTCATTTCGCACCAGACTCCTCAGCCTTATCCTCACGTCTTCTCCTCAAACTGAAGCTTCACCAAGTTGTGCGCTATTTACCAAAGACACGGTGGCCTTTCCAGCTCAGTGTTTCCAGTGTCCCCTCTGCTCAATGGTCCCTCGTATTCTGCGTCCTCCAAGTTCTTATTCAAACAGATCTTCCTCTATGAAGCGTCCCTACCTCCCTTCTCTGTATTTTCAGAATGTCCTGAAAAATCTCTCTGTATTCCAACAGTTTCTTGCTCTAAGCTTTATAGTACCATTTTGCAGCTTGCAAAACCTTTTAATTTTCTTAAAATTTCATTCCCTATGTGTTTCCCTTTCTCATTTCCCCACTCCTCAAAGGCAGGGATGAGCACATCATAAAGACCCCGTTGGTGTTGGTGAAGTGAATAGAGAAGATGCATTGTCCTTTCTAGAGCATGACCCTACATCCATGCATGTGGGGAAGGACACAGTGTAGGCATGGAGGGTACTGGGCCAAGGCAATGAATCAGCCCACAGGCTACTGTGCCTGGGCAGATTGTATGACCACCTACTCAGAGGTCTCCTTTCCCCAACTCGATAGTGCACGCGCCAGTAATGAGAACAATTCAAACTATCCTCTAGCTGTGCTGTACAAGCAAAGATGGAGAGACTTGTTCGCTTTATTCACACCGAACTGTGACATGCGTCATACAGGAAGAGAAACCCCTGGGGTATGGACCAGACTCATGGGCCTATGGAAATCTTTAACTTCTTGGGGACTCATCTGCAAAATTGGGTTATGGAGGCTCTAAAACTGGAGGGCCAGACTAGACTGGTATTTTTCAATTCTGAAATCTATGAGGCTATTCATTCATCTGCCCATTCATTCGTGAAGGCTTGAGGTCTCTTATAGTTCTAATTATCTGCAACGCTGCCTACCAAAGTGGAATTCAAAGAAAGTCTACAAAGTCCCAAGCATTCTGCAGGAATTCACATTGTGTCAGAATGGATGACTTGGGGAACGTGAAGAAGAGCAAGTCAGAAGCTCATGTCTACTGAGGTGAGTCTGTCTTGTGGGTGGGCTTCATTTCCCTGTCTAAGCAGTTTGGGATGGCATTCTTTACATCGAAGGAGTCAACAGTTCAAGATCTCAGAATCCCTGACATTCTAAACCACATCTGACAACTGCTGGTAGTGAAAACATGCCAGCGATTGTGACATCTTTGCCCGCTTAGGTGTTTGGAAGAAACGAGCCCCGAGAGAGCTAAAGAGACACAGGGTTCTGCAGGTCAGCGACAACTCCCAAGTCTACCTTTGTTTCTGCTGCATCGGTTGCTGCCTCATGGCCATGTACTGCATGTCTTCTTGCAGGCGATTCAGAGGGGACTCTGGCTTGACACGAATCCCATAGTAATGGTACTTGGAGTTTCCTCTTCATAAAAGAACAACAAACATAGGAAACACAAAAAGTCAGTCAAACCAGTATTAATTACACAGGTCGTCCATCAACTTTCAAGTTTTAAGGAAAAGAAATCAGGTCAGAGCAGCATATCAAGGTGAGGTATTTAGGATTCACCTGTTCTTGAGACCAGTAAGCTTTTATGGTGGTGCTGTAGGATAAGCACTGGACTGCTAACTACAAGGACGTCGGTTCAAACCCACCAGCTGCTCCTCAGAGACCATATACAGGGTTGTTGCTAGGAGTGGGTTCCAACTTGATAACACTTAACATCAGCAGCAACATTTGAGAAAACAAAATCGAATTCAGATCAATGAGCTATAGCCCTAAAAAGAAATATTCCTTATACATTTTTATGTGTTAATAAGATTCCACTCAAAGAACACTTTATTTTCAAATTTATATTAGTTCTGAATCAGTAAATGGGGGGAGAAGTGTTTCTAGAGAAAATTCTGTAACAGAATCAAGGTGGCCCACCAAATAGGGATTTCCTGTGAAGTGGTATACATAGTTGAATTTAAGTGGAAAAAAAAAAAATCTTCACACTTTTCTAGTTCTCTATATTTCAGAGATGGCAAAGTAAGATAGTTCTGTCATTGAAAAAAATGTAGCGTGAAGTCTATTATTTTATATGTTGAGACCTAAAAGAACTTGTAAGTATTTTAAAAAAATAAATAACACCAAACCTTCTGCCATCTGGTCAATTTCAAGTCAAAGCAAATCTACCTAGGATTTCAGAGACTATAAATCTTTATGGGTGCAGACAGCCTGCTTCATCTCTCTCCTGTGAAGTGTTTGGTGGGTTTGAACTGCCAGTTCAGTGCTTAGCAGTCCAATGCCTAACCCACAGCATCACCAAGTTTCTTTAGAAGTATTAAAAAGCAAGTGTTCAATCTACTGATTTTGCAACACAGTTTAACAGTCTCTATTTTCATGGATTCATGATAGTTTTGCTGAATAAGATTTGTCACAACAGACATGGGACAATATTTCTGTGAAAATGGCAAATTTCCACTCGGGAATGAAAAATCTCACAATTTCCTAATGTTCACAAGAAAAAGCCATGTTTGCCATGAGAAATGGAATTTGCAAATTCTTGCAAAAAAAAAACAATTTAGATATGCAAATTTTTGAAAAGGGAAAATAGTAGTTTCTCACAGGTCTATATATAGTAAGACATCAGGACATTTTTCTTTTCTTTTTTTTTTTTTTTAACCCAAAAGAAATGTGGATTCAACATTTCATATAAAAATAGAGCAGAATTTTACTTCCAAGATGAAAGAAAATCCATTGGGTGAGCACTCTATGCAAGGGACGACATCAGACTGATATTATATAATTAGTACAGCAAGTTGTTGTTGTTAAATTCTGGGGATCTGAATGCCTGTTTGTCATTAGCAAAATACACCACAAGTAAAAACAAAAGGTGCAGTCAAGAAAGGCCTTCGATTTGGGCAAGGCAGACTAGATTCTAGCTCCTCTGTAGAGTGGATTAAAAACAAACCCAGAAAATAGCACACATTCAGTCAGGGTTGTTTCCTGTACACACTGGAGGGGGTAGGGTGTGGGAGGCAGGAGTCCGGCATCATGGAACCTAAAAGTACAAGTGGTGTTTCTCTTACGGAACTGAAAAATAGATGGAGTGCCTGGTCTTTCTTCCGCTCCCTCCAAAGCAGCATTTTGGGTTAGTTGAGGAAGAAACCCTGGTGGTACAGTAGGTTAATCACTGTGCTGTTAACCACAAGGTCGGTGGTTCGAACCCACCAGTTGCTCTGTGGGAGGAAGAGAAGCTTCACTAAAGACTTACAGCCTTGAAACCATAAAGAGACATTCGATTCAGTCCTATAGGGCTGTGCTGTGAGTCCGAATCGGCTACAGGGCTCTGGGTCTGCGTTGGGGTTTAAGGGTGGGAGAGCTTCTTTCTGTCTACTGGACAGTTGCACTATGTATTCTTTTCATCATATTTTGATCTTTAAAAACCCCCATTATTGATTTCTAAAGAAAGGACAACTGTGCCTAACACGTGCCTCTCAAACGGCATTTGAAGATGGGACATGCTTTCATTTAGAAGAGTAGCAATTTTCTTTCTTTTTCCTTTTGATTTGCAAACTCGAGACAAGGCCTAGCCCTTATTGTATGGATTCGGTTCATCATTTCAATGATGGGTAAATGGGAATAAAGTACCTGATGTGGTCAGTCTCAGGCTGTCTACTAGTGTCCCTTTGGTTCTCCAGGGTGGGAGGAAGGAGATGCCACCCCCTGGGAGAAAGCGTTTGGGGGACTCCTCCCTATCACTGCCAGCTTTGTAATCTTCATGATGCAGCAGTGTTTGTTTCAACTTTCCCTAGACAGTTTCTTTTCTCTTTCTTCTTGCCGCCTTGGCTTCCCATCCTTAATTGCAAATACTACATATGATTTTCAAAGAAACAGGAGACATAATTGTTACGTAGGATGTGTGTGTGTGTGTGTGTGAGACCACATTGCAAAGCAAAAGCTGCAACAGTGCACTGTGTACTTACAGAGTATGGCTTCTACTCATTCACAAAGCCAAACAAACCCCAATTTTGTCCCTTTCTATTTTAAAGATGTGTTTCAAGGTTTGAATAGAGACTCAAAATAGGACCCATTGAAATCCCTTCCAGTAACAAAAGGAGCACAACAATACAGCGATTAGAATGCTGAATCAAGCCCAGAGTTTCAAAACACTGGCATGACATGCTTCAAGACTGCCATCAGCTAAGAGATCCTGCCCTAGGGCGCCATTTTTTTTTTTTTTTTTTTTTTTTTTTCAAAGGAATTGAAAACAAGTTGTTTTGTCTCAATAGACTTCATCATATTCTCTAGTTTAAAAAGATATTCTCCTTGGAAGCACAGATGGAAGAAAATATATTTAGGGGCAAAAGGACCCTCCAGCAATTTGAAAGGTGCTCGGCCCCTTCACATGGAGCCAGAGGGAGGAGTCACATGTGGAGTTCAGAGAGATGCCGGAAGTCTCAAATTCCTGAAGCACTTTCTTCTCTTCTCAGGATAAGTTGATAAGATACTAAGACTCTGTTCAGGAAGTGTAGTGGCTCTGTAGGATAAGCATCGGACTGCTAACCCACAAGGGCAGTGCTTCAAGCCCACCAGCTGCTCTGAGGGAGAAAGATGAGGTTTTGTGTTCCCACAAAGATTTACAGCTGCTGTGAATTGGAATTGACCTAACAACAACAACTACAACAACAACAAGGCTGTCATTTTATTAAGAAAACCCGATATTTATTGGAATACTATGAAGCTGTGATTTAGGATTAGCAAAAGGGATATCACCTGATGTCATATGCCTAACAGTTCTGCTTTGACATTTGTTATTTTCTCTCTTCCTGCTATAAGATTCAGACAGTCAGAGTAACTCATAGCATGTGCTTGTACACTTAAAAATATTTTTTCTCTGTTGATTTTTTTTAAATGGGAAAAAGGAAACCCCGCTAAGTATTCTTTCCATCACGTCTTGATTAGTAAAAACACTCACATTCATTTCCAAGGCAAGGAAAAGAGCCCGAAGTCAAGACCTCATATTATTGGCTTCCATGCAACGGAACTGAGCCACCATTTCCCTCGTGCGTCTTTACTATTCCGCAGTGAAAAGCAAAACAGCGTGGTGAGTAGCAAGGCAGAGAGAGGCACAGCATTCGTGAGGTTTCTAAGTCTCATATTGTACAAGTTTACCATTAATTGATCTCCAGGAATGAAATGGAAAGCTCAACTTACACACCTTAAACTTTTTCTAGCACAAGTGCTCTTTATAAAGACAAATGTGATTTTCCAAGAATCCAGGCATGCCTGGCTTTCCATGGACTATTATCCCCTTACACCTCATCTTTAGTATGTTGGTGGTGGTGGTGTTGTTAAGTGCCATGGAGTCAGTTTCGAACCATAGTGACCCTGTATAGGGTTTCTGAGGAGTGGCTGGTGAGTTTGAACTGCTGACCTAACAGTTCAAACCAACTTTGCAGCGCATTAACCCACAGCGCCACCCCGGACTCCATCTCAAGTACAGCTAATTTCAAAAAGAAGAATGTCACAGATGTGAATTTTGAAGGTCTCACGTGCAAATCCCGAGTTCACAGGACAGTTCTACTGATCTCCGTGGGGCCTGGGATTTAGCTTTTCCCCATGTCTTGTCCTGGTGTAGTACTCTAAGAAAGGTTGGTGGTTCAAACCCACTGGCTGCTCCTTGGAAACCCTACACTATGAGTCGCTACGAGTCAGAACCGACTCTATGGTACTTAAAAACAACATAGTCTTGCTCAGTGGATGTTTGAGGCCACTCATCATTCTGGTTTCGCCGTATTCATTGAAGGATGACCTTTCCTTGGGGAGCAGAGGCTGGGAGGGGTTTATAAGTGGAGCTCATGTGATTGATTTTTGTTCTTTATCTAGTATCTCTAATCAAGTACACTTGCTCAAGCCATGTGCAGACCCGTGAGCATCTGAAAGAGAGAGGGCAGTGTGGGGGGCCTGTTATTTTTCAGCACTAACCTTGTTCCCAATCGCCTGGTCCGGAGCCCCATAAAAATGGACCGTATGAGTTTCCCGAAAGAGGCAGCGTTGACCGGGTCCAGTTTGTGCTCCTGACAGTGTCGTAGGTAGTGGTTGTACAGAGTGCTTCTGGGAAGGCTCACGCCTTCTGCCGTCTCGTAATTGTCCAACAGCCACTGAAGCTAGCGCAGAGAAAGGACAATCAGCTGCGAAACCACACAGCTCACCCACGGACACACTATCAAGAAATACTCGGAGGCGCTCGGCGAGTCTGATGGTCGTGGACATTGTTCTCATTCACAGCTCAGTACAATCGGATGTGGAAAACTTCCAGAAACACTGCAAGTGGCTAGACACCACTTAAGATGGCAGACAGTGCTCCTTTCTTCCAGGACTCAAGGACACATAAAGACATACCAATTTGCACTTTTTCTGTACTGACCGCTGGTTTTTGGAAACGAGCACACTTTGAAGAATTCAAATAATCCCATAAACTAGTTATACATTTATCAGGGTTCTGTGGAGCAGGAAACGTTACCACACCAGGTAGCATGGGGCTAAAATAGGACCTTAGCATTGGTTCATTATAACCCATGAACAGCAAGTTGCTTTGTCTTAAGTTCTTAGATTCAGGCAGGTTTTATTCATTCCTATAGAGTTCTAATCTATTTATCTCAAATTACTACAAGGTGACACAAAAATGGCATTGCCTATGAATGCAACACATTCTTTATGCAGAAAAGAAACAATTCAGTCATTTCTTTCCCACAAGGTAGGAAAATCACTAGGTTTGGGTCAAGATTTTAATGTAATGGAAACAGAATCATTTACTACAAATGTCTGATTTTTTTCCACTTCCAAGATGCCTTCTTTGGTCTCTTGAAAAAATGTGTTATAATGGTAATTAAAAGCAGTCATGTCTTCGTCTGTAGAACACCTTTTTAAAGTTTTATGTTAGCATGTGCATAGTTCTTAAAAACAAGCTTCAGAGTACATTAGACACAAGAAAGGTTTTAAAGTAATCAAATCCAGATATACATGACTGAGTGTCAACATTAGTAAAATTATTTTATTTGTTCATTAATTTGTCAAAGGAAAACTGAAGAACACAAATGATTTTCCTGAGGTCACACAGTAAAACTCTGCATTTGAGTTTTCAACTCGTGTTTCCTGATTCTTCCTAGACTGGTCATTACATAATTGTACATATAGAAGCAGTCCTGATGTGGTGCTGTAGGATAAGCAAGATCGGTTTCAACCACAAGGTTGGCGGTTCCAACCCACCAGTTGCTCCTCAGAAACCTTCTACAGGGTCTCTATGAGTTGGAACAGACTTGGTGGCACTTAACAACAACAACAATATATGTAGACAGAACAAGGGGCTTCACAAAGCTCATGGGGAAATCCCATTATCTTTCCATCCCAGTATTTCCGTGATCTTTTCGAAGTCTTCTTGTCAAAGCTACCGTATCTCTAGTTTGTGAAGGATGTCACAGGAGTTGTCGCCCCCAAATTTCTGTGCCATATTTCAAAGGCTGTGGTAAAGGGTAGTTGATGCTTAAATGCAATTCAAGTTAAGTATAAATAACGGGCACCGAAATATTCATTTGTTGGGCACCAGCAGGGTCACATGCCAGACACTTTGTAATAATCTCATCCCTGTCCACAAAGAATTTATGGTCAAGTCCTAAAATTAATCATTTGGAAAGGCTAATCATTGGATGCATTTCTCGAGCTTGACTACATATTTCTAAGATGACAATTCAACGTAGAGACTGAGCCTTCTGATTTTTCAAATAAGAAAACCATCATTCAGGTTTACAGAAGTATTGTCTTTACAGATGTTGCTTAGATCATTAATTTGGGTCATTAGATTCACACTGCTCGGTGGTTTAGGCAATATGGTCACTAAGCCCAAGCAGAAGTTGTTGTTATGTGCCGTGGAGTCAGTTCCGACTCATAGCGACCCTGTACAGAGTTTCCGAGGCTGTAAATCTTTACGGGAGCAGAAAGCCTCATCTTTCTCCCGCAGAATGGCTGGTAGTTTCGAACTGTTGACCTTGAGGTTGGCAGCCTGATTTGTAACCACTACGTGGGGAAGATCTGAAGTCCTCTATGGATAATATATCCATATCTATACAAGCAGTCTCTGGATTATGAGAGTTCTGTTTTTGTTTTCATATCGAATTTGGCCATAAATCAGAAAGGTAAAGTCTGGTTCCTATCTAAACTCAGTCAAATGTTTGTCTTAGTGTATAGTGTACTTTTCTATGCATAAAACCATTAAAGAAGACTTCTCAGATATACTAAAATATCTTTAACATCATAATACATAATAAAAATAATAATGTCATAATGCATCCTGCCAAGTAGCACACGCTGTACTTCAAGCCATGGCGTGTACGTCAAATTGTTAATGTGACAGGCTTTACGGGGGGGTGGGGAGGCTTCATAACTACGGGGTGTATATAAGAACGAAACGGGACGGTCATAACCTGAGGACGCCTGTATGTTTATTTAAACATCTGTATTTTCTCTGTAACATATGTAACCCTCGCCTATAAAATTTGAGAGAGAAAACACAAGTTATCCATCATGCGTTTCTAGGATGACTGAAATGACTAGGGGTCAGAGAGAGCGATTTTGATCAACATCACCGGACATCTTCTTGTCAGTAAACAAACTCAACAGGGTCTCTGCGAATCCCACACGGCAGAGAGAACCATTTTGCATAGACATATTCATTTGGTGCAAAAGCAAGGAGTTAAACTATTAAGAAGTCAAGTGGCCAGGGCTCAGGCTAGTATTTTGGTTCAGATGTCCGTAGTATTTTGACTGCTGATGACTGAATGCAACTGAGGGAGACCACATTTAAAATTCAGTGATACAAACCTCATGTGTAATTCCTCCAGGTGCCTCAGTGAGGTGGGTGGGATCTGAAAGTACTGTTACCACGCCTGGATGGTGGTAGGGTGGCCCAACCAGACTGTACAAAAATGCTGTCTCCGGTTTTGTACAAATTGACTAGTCAGAACAAGACCTGACAGCTTTCTACCAGTATTAGTGATCTATTACACAGAGAAATACAAGCCCCTTGATATCACGGAACATAATGAAACATTGTGAAAAAAAAATCCCCAGGAAGGTAAAGACAGAAAAACTGTAAACATATTCACACACACACACACACACACACTGAAAATAATAACATTTTGCAACTGAACTAATAAAGTGCCCTCATCCACAAGAATGGGACACACAATTTCTGTAAGTTAAACAATCGGCAAGGATAAATTTGTACATATAATTAGGCATCCACTTGCATAAAATACTGCAAATTGCATATCCAGAGTATAAAAGATGAAAAAAAACCCATTATTCTCCCTTTACTAATGAAGATGACATGCAGGAAATCAACACTGAAGAGGGCATTTGTTTTTTCAGAAATAGAAAAGAATTCATATTATAAGATGAACCTTACAGTCAAAGATGTACAAGCAATTAAAACAATCTCATGTAAAATACTTTTAATAGACTATAAAACAAGTGAAGACAATTCGTCTAATTAACCAGAGATACAAATAATGACTTTCTGTCAACTGTCAACTAGAGAAACTGTCTTCTTGGAATGCTTCACATAAAAGTAAAGACAGTATCTGAAAATGAACACTTCATACTTTCTCATGACTAAGAAAACCAAAATAAAGTAATAAAAAATGTTCCACGAGACTCTAAAAAAAGAAAATCCAACAGTAAAGTAGTTGAAGGGCGCTAACATACAGTGCTTTTCATCAAATAGAAAACAAAACAAAACAAAAAAAATAGAAATTCAAGTTCAATATAAAATAGTTTCAGTTCCATAGTTACATTTACATGTTCAAAAGAGAGCTAATTAGACCATTCTTCATCGAAGACCTATTTGCACAGAATTAGTGGAATACATGCTTTCGAGCCTGGTGCCCAGATGGGATAATCTGGAGAGCAGGGGGCTCTGATGGAACAGCTATATGGACCTGGCACAGCTGAGCAGGTTAGAGCAACTGGACCACTAGGCAGACCAGCCGATATCTCTGACCCTAGCTTCACATTCTTACTGTCTGTTCCTAAATGGGCCTGTGTATTTTGGGTTTGATAAAATCTGAGTTTATTTTGTTGGTTGGAAAAGTTCCACCACTTGGTATTTTGGGTGACTATGATGCCTTCAACAGAGTCCTGGTGTGGTGCTGTGGGTTAATGCACCAGACTGCAAAGCCGTTTGAACTGCAAGGTTGGTGGTTCAAGCTCACCAGCTGCTCCTCGGAAACCCTATCCAGGGTCGCTATGGGTCAGAATCGACTCAATGGCACTTAACAACAACAAATGATGCCTTCAACAGCAGCAAAGTTGGCTTTATCTCTTCCCCACCCTTTATTTACAAGAGGATCTTTTATTCTTTTACAGAAGACTGGAGATCACTTGAAGGGACACAAGGAAGTCAAGTTGAGGCCACAGCCCTGAAGGGTCAGGGTGGAATTGCAGCAGACCCACCAGTGCCTGCTGGGTGACCTGCCACACATGAGGTCACCAAGGGCAGCTCTCACTAGCAATGCCCCATGCCAGTGGGCACTAGCTGGAGGTGCTGCCCAGGAAGATGCTGAGATTGTACTTGTATTCTCCATGCCAGGAACTTGACTTTTAGCTTTTGACACAATGGTGATCTTGTAAATCAGACAGATGACTCTGAAATGTGGTGCAAACCAGCCCTAACTTCACTGTCAGAGAAACTCCTACGTTAAGTGTGACTAAGGACAGACTTAGGCAAGAAGGTCTGCTGTAAGAGAGAGGGTCTGTTTCCTTGAGTTTTGTCTTCAGTAAAATTCATTTGGACATGAGGGGTACTCGTTTAGAATTAAACTATTATTTCTTTTACTTGCTTATAAAATGTCTTATAAAAATGTTTGTTTAAATCTATGATTAAAAAGCCCATAAATACCAGAGGAACTTTTAACCTTTACCTTTAAAGCCTGATTATTTAAGAATGAATTAACATAAGCTCATTTAAGGGTGGAAGCCAATATAATTGTGTCTTGCAACCTTTACATTTTCCCTATATTAATCAGCATAGATTAAAGAAGAGGAATCGTTCTTGTGGTCCTAAAGGGAAATACTGATTGACAAATTAAAAATATATATAGATGGATAGAGTTCTGGCGTGGCACTGGAGATTAAGTACTGTAACTGCTAACTGAAAGGCTGATGGTTCACACCCACCAGCTGCTTCTCAGAAACCCTATATAGGGTCGCTGTGAATCAGAACCGACTCAATGGCACTTAACAACAACAACACACATATGCATGCAATATATATATATGGAGTCCTGGTGTGGCGCTGTGGGTTAATGCGCCAGACTGCAAAGCAGTTTGAACTGCAAGGTCAGCAGTTCAAGCTCACCAGCTGCTCCTTGGAAACCCTATACAGGGTCGCTATGAGTCGCAACCAACTCGACGGTACTTAACAACATATATATATATATAGATATATAGATATATAGATATGCGATCCCCCAATTAACATCTAAATGTAACATTTGAAGGGTTTTTTGTTTTTTTCCCACATATCCACGAGGATTCGTTCTAAGCTCAGTTCACTGAAAATACGCATTTTGGCCTCATTTCTGTCATCAGTTATATTTACAGCAAAGCCAAAGAAGCCTGACTATACTGGCACCGGTCATGCTTGGAGATGAATATATTTCAGTAGCAGAAATGGTGGCAAAAGTCAAGAAACAATTATATATTAATTATCTGCAGGAATGTATGTAGCCTATGAAAGTAACGTCTAAGGCTTTCTTTATATACTTTCAATTGAATTAAAACAAAACAAAACAACAACAACAACAACAAAAAAACAGGCTTAAAAACATTACGTGAATAGTTGCAACAGTTAATGTAACCACATTTCTGAATTCAAATTTGCAGTCCAAAAGACCCCTTCTCACGGAGTACAATACAACCACTAAATGCCAATTTATATATCGCTGATGACTAAAAAGGAGTGGAAAGGACACTGAAGACAGAATGAGAGTAAATTAATTTAGCTTATTAAACATTTGGAGCCCTGGTGTGGTGCTGTTGGATAAACACTGGACTGATAACTGCAAGGTTGGCAGTTTAAACCTACCAACTGCTACTTGGAAACCCTATATAGGATTGGTATGAGTCAGAACTGACTTAACAGCACTTAACAACATTCATCCTTTGGGAGTATGATGGCTCTGTAGGATTAAGCACTAGACTGTGAACCACAAGTCCACTGGTTCGAGTCTACCAGCTGTTCTGTGGCAGAAAGATGAGGCTTTCTGTTCCTGCGAAGATTTACAGCTTCAGAAACCCTACATACAAGGTCGCTATGAGTTGGAATGAACTCAGTGGCACTCAGCAACATTAATCATTTATCCATAGCAATTTCACAAGTAAAAGAAATTAGAACTAACTTTTTTCAATAAA